TCTCCTTTTAAGGTATTACATATGTAAGATGCCATATATCCCAGATCTAAATATGATTGAATGTTGCAAGTGCAAGTACTTGTAAAGTTGCATCACTTGTGACTACTTTCAGTATTTTTGGCCTATTCAATAGCTTCTAGTAGTTGAATATTTACGAGGCAGCATTTATCAGCCGTGTCAGTTTGATATTGGCTTGTGATTGTCGCTCTTTTTATTTTTGTCAAAAGATAACTCATATTATCGAGAAAATGGTGAATGGGTTCCTAATCTTACTTCGTGTTTGTTGTTTTGTTTCTTCGTTGTTTCAATCTGCACTCGAATGATTTTGAGATGGCTACAGAAACTCTCTGCCATAATGCAGTCACTATATTCAGTTCAGGTCTCACAAACTGTCCTTGTGCCTTCCTTGAAAAGACTATTGACTGTGTTATTGGCTTGCTGGAACTGAAAGATTCAAATGGGGTTGAGAGATTTCGGAGAATGAGATTGGGATCATTAGTTGAGCAGACGAGAAAGAATAAGATCTCTCGTGAATTGGTATCGATTGGTGACTAGAATCTATTGCGAGGCTCACATTCTGCTGCGAGAGATGTAGGTTACTTTTGTTCTGATAATGAAGAAGCACGTATGGCTAGGCAGTAGGCTCTCCCCAAATAGAAGGATGTTTCCACTACACGGTTGATGATGTTGTGTTGAACATAGAGAAACGTGGTAGATCGGGTTGGAAAGTGAGTCCCAAGCAGTTCATTGCTAAGCTCTCTTGTACAGGGAAGAAAATAGTGGATATCATTCCATCAGATGGTTGTTACAAACAGTCGAAAATCACCAAAAAAGAGAAGAAGAAGTTCCCGCAACTGCATGAAAGTGAGCAGAAACTGCGCGTTGTGTATGAGTGTTTCGACCACAAGAATGGTAGTTATAACCCCAGGCTGGATCCTCGGTTAAGTTGGACTGTAGTTGAAATTGGAGTTTTTCTCCGAGTTTTGGAGAGATGTTCCTCTAGGGATTGGTTTACTGTACTGTATGCTATGAGGTGCTGCCACATGACTGTTCATCAACTGGAGGAGTTGTGGAACTATCCGGTCAGGGAGTCATCCTCGCTAACAGAGGAACATGCGGAGTACATTGTTCCCACTGATCTGCTTGTGAGGGTAAGGAAGATTGAGGCTAGGATGAAGAAGCAAGACTCAACAAAAACAGACAAGGAGGCTTGATGGCTAGAGCTATATGCATCCCCCAGCTCGTGTGAGCTTTTATCAGTACTTTACCTCCTGCTTCTTGAGATTTGATAGACATTCTCCTTCAGTCTTTCACGTCATCGCATTGTTAACAACATTACCTTAGCACTACAAGAAAAAATGTTTATAGACATTCGCTATATGTCACAAAAGCATAATAAAACATCATATTAAGCTTTCACCAACGTTTTTCTCAAACGTCACTTATGTGTCATTTTATCAACAACCGTTTTAATTTGTGGTGACACTTAATACAAACGTTGGTGAACTTTTTTGTGACATTTTAATAAGTTTTAATAAGATTTAGAAACGTCATATATTCAATTTAGATTGTCTTCTAAAGCTTTTTTTTGGATATACATCAATACAAAATACAGGATCTTGACTGACCAATATAATAAATATAATTTTACAGTTTTTCTTTTAATTTCCCCCCTCCCCCCCAATTTTTATACATTGGTAAAATGGACGAAGAATCATTTTAAGGCTCACAACAATAATGAGTTACATAGTTATGTAATTAATATAATGAAATTATTTGAACTGTACAATGGCCTGGAATACAATTTAGATGAATCATCCATCCTCCACGATGAAAAAAGAAAATTGGCTTCCGATGCTCCAAAAAGAAGGAATTATACTCAAATATCTTAAAGTAAAAAATATTATATCTACTATTAGTAATCGGCAATCTCCAAGACTTATGGGCGTCTCTTGTCAATAACTCTACACTTAATGATTGAAAGAAAATTATAGGATCTACACTTCTTGTATGGTTACAGTTGAGATAATTTATCAAAACAAGTCTAATAAAAGTATTCTTATCTTAAAAATTCTAAATGTATTCTGGCCAACTGGCAGGATCCAAGCTAGTTAAGTGAGAGATATAAGGAGTTACAAAGTGTGGTGGTGTTAAAGAAAATATTGCAAAAAAAAATAAATATCCTAAGTGCATAAAGCCATAAACCCCACTTTTTAGTTTATCACAAAGATCCGACTAAATATGAGTAAATCAAAATGATGAATAAATCATTGATTTTTCCAAATCTTTTTAATCTCATTTATGGTATTCCGTTTATATATTGTGGTGGAAAGTTGATTAAAATGACCTTTAGGGAAAATGTCAAAATAACAAGTAAGTTTTACAATAAAGTGACATCATTAACAATTGTCACTCTAAAAACGTAGCTAAAGATATTACTTGTTGTAGTGTTGTCACTAGACCTGGATATCGGGTCGAGTTGGATAATTTCGGGTTGGAGCATCGGGTTACAGATAGGATCATATTGGGTTGGCTAATTTTAGGTCAAATATTAACCCAACCCATCGGGGGTCGGGTTACAGGTCATTTCGGGTTATGTGCACTCTCAGAAACAATATCAAACATGCTTCATATTTTCTTTAAAGAACACAAATCTTCACATATGCATGACCAGGGGCGGACCCACCCTTTAGCAAGGTGTGTCACCCGACACACCTTCGGCCGGAATTTTTATGAGAGACCCACGTTTTTTGGTGTAAAAATTTTGAACACAAAACTTTTTACACACCTTCGATAATTGTTACTGACAAACCTTGTTTGTTTCTTTTTCGAAGGTGTGTAGCTCTCCGCCCCCTTTGATTTCCTGTTCCTTTTTCGTTATCCCAGCTCATGTTCCTTGCTTTGTTTTCTGCATTTTCCAGTTCGCTGATGCTTTGTTTTCATGCTTGTTTGTTTCTCCCCTTGTGGGTTGTTGTCCTCCCTCTCGGTTGGGTTGATTTTTGGCCCTCTGCTATGATGATTCAGAACTGGAGATGATTGTCCGTTCTAAGATGCAAAGAGGCTAGATCTGATTTCATATCAGGCTAGTCTTCTCCTCTCTTTTCCAAAATCTACCTCCTTGCTCTCACTTTGCAGATCTTGGTGGTTCGGAGTTGCATTCAATGGTGACGGATGCGGTTTGGAAAGCTTGAAGATAGAAGGCTGTCTCCCCTCTTCTTCCTCTGTTGTCCGACCGTTCGAGTTTGTTTAGCTTCCCCTGGGGTTCGTGCGGCGGGAGGCGGACGTTCGAGCGGCTTGGGGTGGGTTTGGTTGAAGATCGTTTTCTTCACCATCCTACCATCCAAGTGGTGGATTTTTGCCTCGGCTTCCTCTGTCTCCGAAGTGGAGGCGTTGTGCGGCGGCGGCGGCTGTTTCGACTTCGACGATGGGGTTCTTGAGGGGAGCAGTGGTTGCTAGGGTTAGGTTGGGCCTTGTTGGGTTCCGAGTTTGGTTGGGCCTTGTTTTTTTTCCTGATTTTCAGCTCAAGTAGTCACTGTTTGTATCTTTTCCTTTGGACTTACCCATTGCATTCTTAATGAACCACACTTTCCAAAAGAAGAAAGTTTCATTGTTCGGATTGTAATGTTTCGCTAAGCCCACTCTCTTTTCTCGTCGTGTAGGAGGATTAGGGGTTCGGTTTGTCTCATTCTTGGGGTCATGTGAGACCTGGAAACCAATTGTTTTTTACTTAATAAATAAACATCGCGTTCAAAGGTTTAGCTCTATTTAGGAAATCGTAATCGTTAATAGAAACGGATAAACACTGTCCTTTACCATTCTGAACAAGGAAACAATCAACAGATTTAAAGTTCGGTTGAACAAAGGGTATAAAAGCTTATAAAAAAACTAGGAGAAAATACTTCACTTTCACCCCTAGGTCAGTAAAACATTTAGTGACCGGTTGGGTTATAAAATTGGACAAAAATGATCCACCCGACCCATGTACACCCTAATTAGAGTGTGCCAATTTTTATAGTGCTTTGTTTATAAAGTTCTTAGTTATTGTGCCACCAAACTCTCCAAATTGTGCTAGAGAATACCGAACGAAGGTGAATTTTGTACGGGGTGGGTATAGACTATAGAGTTAAGGTGGGTTGAGCCGAGACGTCACGTTCGGTAAATTTTTTATTACTATTTGTCGTAACGTGGCGTGGTGTTTTGACCGGACAAAATTAACAAAAAAAAAATTCGATAGCTATGAACAGTAGGACTTGATATTCGCTCCAACACGTTTCATACAAAATAATAATTTTGTGACCGTTTTGTACAAAATGCAAAGATGCCTGTGACCGTTTATGAAAATTACCCATGATCAAATGGTTATTGCTATATAACCACGATTGATCGCAATGAGCAATTGAGCACCCCGACCGGTCGTTCTTTCTTCTCTCCTCTGTCGCCAATAGGGATGGCAAAAATATCCGTAACCGTGGATATCCGCCTGAATCCGACCTAATCGGGTAGGGTAGAACCCGACCCCGAAGGACATTTAGTGGGTATGGGTAAAATCCGAACCCGAATATTGCGGGTAATGGGTGGGCATGGGTTTCACACTATCCAACCCGAACCCGCCTGATTATACACATGCATATGTATTGTCTAGAAATAATCATTTTTTTCTCTAACATATTTTATATTTAGCATATAAATATAATATTTTCATGGAATTGTGTTGTTTTAATTAATTTTCTTCATTCTAGTGAATTATTGTCGTACTTTTCTTCTTACGTAATGTGAGAATACGTATGAATGTTAACATATTGGTTATAGTTATGAAGAAAAATCATTACCCATGGATAACCGCGGATACCCGAAACCCGAACGGGTATGGGCATGGTTTTAATTTTCTAGCCGTTTCACATGTGGGTATGGGTATGGTTAAAACCCGAACTACTTTGGGTAGGGTAACGGATATGCACTATCCGTCCCTGACCCGAACCATTGCCATCCCTAGTCGCCAACAAAAAATTAGGGTTTCTTTTCGCTCTCCCCCCCTCCGCCCGAGAAGCAATCTTCCAATCGATCAAGATCCTCCAATCCAGCTTGCTCTTACACAACTTCCTCTCTTCCACAGATTTTCTTACCCTTCCTCGTTCCTTCCTTCCATGGCTAGAACCAGGGGAGGCCTCACCCGCCGCAGCACCAACCCCGAAGGTACTGCTAGCGCCGCCGGTCGCACGAGGCTCGAGTCCTATACCATTCCCGCCACCACCTACAAAGGTAGAAAGAAAACTCTCTCCCTCTTGTCTTTCCATTCTTCTTTTCTAGCTTGCATAATGTCTCAGCATGTTAATTATATACTTTTCCATGTCTCGTTCCCAGTCGGCGACTGCGTGCTGATTAGACCTAACGCAACTGGGGACGAGCACCCTTTCCTTGCCAGAATCGAGGGCATCGATTTCTACTCCGTAAACAACGTCGACGTCCACGTCAGGCGGTACTACCGCCCCGACGACGAGACTTTCAAATGGGCTCAGAGGTTCCACGGCAAAAAAGAGGTCTTTCTTTCCGACCACTGGCAGGTCGTGAGCGTCCGCGCCATCGAGGGCAAGTGCACTGTTCACTCTTTGAATGTGTTGAAAGGTAATTTGCATTTGATAAATTAAATCAATAAGTGATCAATGATGAAGTTAAATTTAAGAAGACCATTACTACATGGGACATGGTTGGTTGAGAAGCTTATCTCCCAAACCTATCTACTTCTCTGCTGCAACTCATGTCAAAGATGGAGCCAAAAATAATTCTCAAGACAAGATTATCAATGCATGAATAAATGCTATTGGCCAATCAATATTAAACATAGTCACATGGAGCAACGTGATGATGAAGATAGGGAAGGGGCCAACTAGTTAATTTATTTGTTCCCCAAGTTGTCAATTGATATGTAATTCTTTCTACTTCCATGATATATATATGTAACAAGTATGGGCATGGGAAGTAGAGAGTCAGAAAGTGTTGGCAAGAAAGAAAAGAAAATTGCCGTGTATGAGTTGTGAATTTGTGAGTTAAAGCATAAGCCAATTATTATAAGGCTATGTTTGTTTGAGTGTTTCTTAAAAGTGAGTGATTAAACACCATATGTTTCCTTTGTGTTGATCCTAAATCATACCACATTTCCGCTAATATCCAACAAATTTGGTATCAGAGCTAATACCCTTCTATCCTCTCAAAAATCCCCACCTTTCTAGCATACAAAAATCCTCTCAAAAAGCCATGGCAACAACTTCATCAAACACCACGTTTGCTACCTCCTCTAATCAAATTCCCATTTTTGATGGAGAATTGTACGAGTACTGGAGTGCCCAAATGGAGCCAATTTTCATCTCTCAAGATCTGTGGGATATCGTCCAAGAAGGATATGAAGATCCACAAGACGAGGATGAAGACTCGAAAAAACGAGCAGGCAAGCAGACAAAGGAGTACAAGGAGAATGCCAAGCAAAATGCCAGCGCCTTGAGAATCATTCAGCAAGCTGTGAGCAAATCAATTTACCCCAGAATCTATGGCATCAAAAAGGCGAAAGAAGCTTGGGATGTCTTGCGTGAACAATTCCAAGGTTCTGAAAAGGCGATCTCCATCAGGCGACAAAGTTTATGGCGCCAGTTCGACAACTTGATGATGAAGGAAACCGACACCATCAAAGACTTCCATTCACGTGTGGCGGAGACAGTCAACCAGATCAAAGCCACCGGTGACGTCATGGAAGAGAGGAAGGTCGTGGAGAGAATTCTCCGGAGCTTATCATCAAAGTTCGAGCATATTGTTGCTGTCATTGAAGAAACCAAAGATTTGGCAAATTTATCAATGAGCGAGTTAATGGGCTCACTTGTAGCACACGAGCAAAGAATGAGCCGATTTACCAAACCGCCATTGGAGCAAGCTTTCTCGTCAAAAGTCAACATGACGGAAAGTAAATATGCCAAATCGGAGCAAGGTCAGAGAGGGGGAAACTCACAAGGAAGAGGAAGAGGAAGATCCAATTACAGAGGAAACAACCGGCACAATTATCAACAACAAAGATCGAGCTACACCGGCTCGAGTTGCATAATTTGCAAAAAGGCGGGTCATGCAACAAAAGACTGCAGATTCAAGTGCACCAAGTGCAGAATTCAAAACCACTCCCAGAGAGATTGCTGGTTCCAAAACAAGCAAGAAGAAGGCGAGTCAAGCGGCACCAAAAATGAAGAAAGCAATATGGTGGCCTTATCATGCTTGAATGGTGAGCAAAAATCACAGCTTCCCTGGATGGTGGATAGTGGTTGCAGTAACCACATGACTGGAGATCTGGAGTCCTTCACCGACATCGATGACAAATACCGCTCTCAAGTCAAATTGGGAGACGGGAAGAAGCTAAAAGTGGAAGGAAAAGGCACAGTTGTTGTATGCACAGAAGAAGGTAACAAAACTCTCATCCGAGATGTTTTGTATGTTCCGGAGCTAACTCTCAATCTACTTAGCGTGGGACAACTGATGCTGAAAAATTATAAGCTATTGTTTGATAATGGCGTGTGCGAGATTATCAACAAAGCTGACAATTTCATGGTGGCCAAAGTCCCGATGACTTCCAACAGAATTTTCTCTCTTGCTATGTCACAAAATGGTGAAGTAGCATTCAAGAGTGAAAATCTGGATCAATCCTTCCTATGGCATCTCAGATACGGTCATCTCAACTTCAAGGGCCTCAAATTGCTGAGGCAGAAAAATATGGTGGTGGGACTTCCCCAAATCAACAGAGAAGACAAAATCTGCGAAGGGTGCATATATGGCAAAATGCATCGTTTGCCATTTCCAAAGACATCTTGGAGAGCAAAAGCGCCACTGGAGTTGGTACATGCAGACATATGTGGTCCAACTCGAACACAATCACTCAGCGGTAAAAGATACTTTCTACTATTTGTAGATGACTTCACCAGAATGATGTGGGTATTCTTTCTGGAGCAAAAGTCAGAAGCTTTTCCCAAATTCCTTCAATTCCAAGCAGTAGCTGAGAAGGAAAGTGGCCATAAAATCAAAACTCTCCGTACAGATCGTGGAGGAGAATTTATTTATACTCCGTTCATGGAGTATTGCCGCAACAACGGGATAAAAAGGCAGCTGACGGTTCGTTACACACCACAACAAAATGGCGTGGCAGAACGGAAAAACCGCACGATTGTGGAGATGGCGAGAAGTATGCTCAAAGCAAAAAAGCTACCCAACAATTTGTGGGCAGAAGCAGTCAACACGACAATTTACATCCTCAACAGATCACCAACCAAAGCAGTACGGAACAAGACACCGATACATGCGTGGCACCACAGGAGGCCACAGGTGGATCACCTCAAAGTCTTTGGGTGCATAGCTTATGCACATATTTCTACCCCAAACCGAGACAAGTTTGACCAGAAGGGAGAGAAGCTGATCTTCACCGGCTATAGTGATGAATCCAAAGGCTATCGTCTTTACAATCCAGTAAAGAATGAGGTGATAGTTTCCCGAGATGTGATCTTTGATGAGATGGCGGAGTGGAATTGGGAAAATCCAATTTCTCAATCTCCACCAAGTTATGAAATTCTGGAGGACTCAGCAACTCCAGAAGACCCCAGCAACGACCCAGATCCAGTTGCTAGTCCAGAAAGAAATTCTGCACCTAGCCCAGAAGGAGACAACTTCAGAGACGTCGTAACAGACTCGGATTCACCTCCGTTGAGAACAAGGTCTTTGCGAGAAATTTATGAAACAAGTCATGTTGCATATTTTTCTTGTGAACCTCAAGTCTTTGAAGAAGCATCCAAAGAAGAAGTTTGGAACGAGGCAATGGATGCAGAAATTTCTATGATCGAGAAAAACAAGACATGGGAGCTTGTTGATCAACCGGAGGACAAGCCGGTTATAGGTCTCAAATGGATCTATAAGATCAAATTCAATGAAGATGGTACTATCCAGAAGTACAAAGCTCGACTGGTGGCAAAGGACTATTCACAACAGCCCGGTATTGATTTTCATGAGACATATGCACCAGTAGCGAGGATGGAGACCATCAGAATAGTTATCGCTCTAGCTGCTCAACTGGAGTTACCAGTATACCAGCTGGATGTCAAATCAGCATTTCTGAATGGAGAACTGGAAGAAGAAGTCTATGTGGAACAACCACGAGGCTATGAGAAAAAAGGAGAAGAAGACAAAGTCTATCGTCTCCGAAAGGCTTTATACGGGCTAAAGCAAGCACCGAGAGCCTGGAACAGCAGAATCGATCGATATTTTCAGCAGAATGGATTTCAAAGAAGTCCGAGTGAAGCATCTCTCTACATCAAAAAGGGAGAAGGAAAAGATTTTCTAATGGTTTGTTTGTATGTTGATGACTTGATTTACACAGGTACAAATCAACATATGATCGAAGAATTCAAAAGTACCATGATGAAAGAATTCGAAATGACGGACTTGGGAGTCATGAAATATTTTCTTGGGATCCAAGTGAAGCAGTCACCTGGAGAAATATTTATTTCACAGGAGAAGTACACCGAAGATATGCTGAAAAGATTTCACATGGCAACGTGCAAACCAATCCCAACACCGATGGCGTTAAACGAGAAATTACAACGCAATGATGGAGCTGAAAAAGTCGATGGAAAGCTGTACAGAAGTCTTGTCGGGTCACTCATTTACCTGACACATACCAGGCCGGATATATGTCATTCAGTAAGTCTTATATCAAGATTTATGAATGAACCTAGCAAACTTCATTTTGCAGCAGCCAAAAGAATTTTGCGGTATCTTCAAGGTACAAAGAAATTGGGCCTGATGTACAAGAAAGAAGCAGAAAGCAAGCTGACCGGATTTACCGATAGTGACTGGGCAGGATCACTTGATGATCGAAAAAGCACATCGGGGTACATATTCTGCCTGGGTTCAAAACCCATTTCCTGGAGTTCAAAGAAGCAGAAGACTGTGGCATTATCCTCAGCGGAAGCAGAATATATCGCAGCTACAGATGCAGCATGCGAAGCGGTATGGCTAAAAAGATTAATTTCTGATTTGCAGCAAAATGAAAATGGTCCAACCATTATTCATTGTGACAACATGTCAGCCATAGCCATGACAAAGAATCCAGTATTTCACGCAAGATCGAAGCATATCGAGTTGCGTCATCATTTCATCCGAGACCTCGTCAACGAAGGATTAATCGTGATGGAATTTATCAACACCGACGACCAGCCAGCAGATATCATGACAAAGGCGGTTACCCGTGAGAAATTTGAGAAGTTCAAGAAGTTACTTCAAATTGCAAATTAAGAGGGGGTGTTGAAAGGTAATTTGCATTTGATAAATTAAATCAATAAGTGATCAATGATGAAGTTAAATTTAAGAAGACCATTACTACATGGGACATGGTTGGTTGAGAAGCTTATCTCCCAAACCTATCTACTTCTCTGCTGCAACTCATGTCAAAGATGGAGCCAAAAATAATTCTCAAGACAAGATTATCAATGCATGAATAAATGCTATTGGCCAATCAATATTAAACATAGTCACATGGAGCAACGTGATGATGAAGATAGGGAAGGGGCCAACTAGTTAATTTATTTGTTCCCCAAGTTGTCAATTGATATGTAATTCTTTCTACTTCCATGATATATATATGTAACAAGTATGGGCATGGGAAGTAGAGAGTCAGAAAGTGTTGGCAAGAAAGAAAAGAAAATTGCCGTGTATGAGTTGTGAATTTGTGAGTTAAAGCATAAGCCAATTATTATAAGGCTATGTTTGTTTGAGTGTTTCTTAAAAGTGAGTGATTAAACACCATATGTTTCCTTTGTGTTGATCCTAAATCATACCACATTTCCGCTAATATCCAACAGAATGACTACATGAAACTTGGGAATGTTGGTGCCGAGGACTATTTTTGCAGATTCCAGTATAAGCATGAAACTGGAGACTTCAGTCCGGACCGTGTTCCTGTGTGAGTTCTATTTTTTTCCTCGTGTTTCTTTTTTTTTTCTGTTTTTACGATTTCACTTCTTCTTACCTGTTTGCAGGGTTGATCCTTAATTAACCTGCGATCTCTTGGTTTGATTTTTGGTCCTTTTTTTCTTCTCTTTTAAGGTATTGCATATGTGAGATGCCACGCAACCCGGATCGCCCTATGATCCAATGCCGGGAGTGTCATGACAGGTAAAGTTATACTTCCGTACGTCATGACTACTTTCAGTGTTTTTGGCTTGTTCACGGGGTCAGCATTTCTCAGCCCTGTCCGTTTGATAGTGTCCGTTTGATAGTGGCAGAGAAAACAAAATGAAGAGTGTTTGGTTTTTACTCGAGAGAATTCAGTAATTATGGGTGGTGTAATTTTTTGGTGGTCTCTATGGGTCTTCATCCTCCTCTCTTAGCTCCCCTCTTAATTCAGAACCAGGATTTCGTTCTCTGGGTTTGCGAATACATACTCCTGTTTTCAGGATACTTTTCGTCGTCACCGCTTTGTAGGTATCATCTAGAATGTTTGGGAATGACGATTGAAGAAGCCAATGGATTGAACTATGTTTGCTCTGAATGTTCCTCTGCCAAAGAATGTGTTTCCAGCATCACCAACAGCTGATCGATGTCAAGGTGAGGTTTCTTCAAAGAATGTGTTCCTCGTGACTTGCTGACATTCTTCTAATGTGTCACTCTTGCATGTTCTTAGTGCGTGCTAATTTGTGGCCGCACGTTGATGTTTCCCCAAGAACATCTTCTCCTTCTGCATTTCTTATGTTACATTCAACTTTGAGATCATTCCTTGATTTCATGTTTCCTGGACTGTGTGTTCCCATCCACATCTCTCTCTATACGTGGAGCTCCTATGACATATTCAGCCACTATTTTTTCCTTTGCTAATAAATGTTTCGTGAGTGATGCAAATCAGTATGGATATATCTAGATGATATGGCTGAATTTGGTGGGTAGGAAAATATTCTGCATGGCTGGTTTAGGATATAATCAAGAGACGCTGCATGTTTTACGTATATATCCACAACCAATACAGTTAAAAGCGTGATTCTAGGTAAAAGTGGTTTGGTGATCTATAAGAATAATGCCTTATAATTAGAAATGCCCAGAAAATATCTTGTTCGTAAAGCAGAAATATGGGTGCACTCCTGTGAATGTGTAAGACATGTTTTTTAATCAGCCGAGTCAAATTGGAATTCATTGTCAACTCTTCTAGTAAAACTATAAGCTTTTAAGATTTAAAGCCTAGATTTTGACTACACTTGTACTTGTTAGGGAAAACTCAATTCTACGTAGAACCGTTTTTGTGACCCTATAATTGCAAAAGCGTAAACTTTTAAATTTTAAAGCACGATTTTGACTTCATTGTCCACAACGAAGCTCTCACATATGCTTTCCCTTTATTTGGACGTTGTTTCATGCATGCATCTTTGCAACTTGGCTCTAGTAATTGTACTTTTCCAAGGTATGTTGAGTGTTGGCTAGTTCCCTTACATCGATCCTGCTGTGATTAGTAAGGTAGGAACGAGATGATCCTTGCTCATTTCTTGTGCACGATAAATATGCACGTCCTAAAACAGCTGATGATTTAGGCTTTCTAGTAGCTTTTAGCTCTATGAGTAGTAGAGGAAACTCTCGGTTGGTTGGGAAAGAACCATATCCAGTTCTTGTGATCAGTGATAATTGTTTGAAAGCTAACATTGAACTTTCTTTGCAGTCGGAGTCCAGACGGGGGAAGAGATGAAAATGACCAGCTTGAATAGAGGGAAGAAGACTGATGTTTTGTGTGACAGGTGGAGCGGGACAGAGAAAACTGCGGTGTGCAATGTGCAAGAAACTTTGATATTTAGGGTTTAGAATAGAATTGAGAATTGAAAGAACGGAATTGAGGATTCAAAAATTTAGAAGAGGAAATTTGAGGTATAGAAGAAAAATGGCAGCAATAATTAGATATGGGACACAAATTTGAGACGAGAGATTAGATCTTTTAGATATAGTTTCCATAATATTTTTTTGGTTGTTTGTGACGTAATAGTCAGAGTACATATTTTAATATAGGAAATAAATTGAAAAACTCCAATAAACAAATCTCAATTATGTGAAGAATACCAACCCTTGGTTGAGCAATCTGGTCGTCCGAGAAAAGTTGAGGGAAAGGAACCAGAAGGTCGGGTCGGGATCACAAACCCAACCCGAAGTACCGGTCAACTTGAGTGTTTCATATCTAAGTTCACATTGTAATTTTGGAAAAACTTATGAAGAGAAATCAATAAACAAACTCTCTAAATCCCAAAATTTCCAATTCTCCCTATTTTCTCTGCATTCCCTCTTTCTCAATCTCAATCTTCTTTGGTGACCAAACGTGAAATGAGTCGTGAAGTTAATGAGGATTAAGACAGAAAAGTAATTCGAGTGGCAAATATGAAATATTTTTGTTATTTAAGTGACCAAACGTATAATTAACCATAAATTTGTAATTCGCCCCACATCGTTCATCTACCCACCGCAATTCGAATTATTTACTAGTGGATTTATGATAAACCGCTAATTAACCACATACGATGTCCAACATAGTATGAGTGTACACTGCCATGAAATTGCTGCAACATACTCCACTCCAAGTCCAAGATCATCTTTGGTCTTTTCGTTTTGGGCTCTTGGCCCGCCTCAAAACCCCGTATCCTGAACTATTTAATCACAATGAGGAGAGCCCAACCTTTGAATTCTGAAGCCCGGGGCCCATTACGGCCTTGCAGGCTGCAGGATTTCCCGCGCTTCTCCAACCCTATCTGCATCCATAACTCTGCCCGATTCTCACCTCCAGCGGCGCGTCTTCTTCCAATCCGGCCGTGAACCATGACCAGTTCGGATTTGAATATGCGGCTGAGCTCGCTCCTCCCACCTTCTGCCTCCGGAAAACGGCGCCGGATCCGTCCACAGGGAAACCCTCCTCCACCTCCCCTGAATCCGTTCCGCAAACTGGTAGACGACCTCGTCGTCGAGATTCTGATCCGCCTCCCAAACCCTAGATCCTCCAGCCGCTGCAAAGCCGTCTGCAAGCGGTGGAGATCCCTCATCGCCGAACCCACCTTCAATCGCCGTTCTATTTCTCATCACCAGAGTAGGTACCCACCAGCATCTCTGTTCCTTCTTCCCGCACACGACCCCCAATCCATCCTCAGATTTCTCCCGGTGCCCGACGGAGCTCGACCCGATTTGACGGTCTTCGACTGCTTCAAGGACTTGCTTCTGTGCGGATTTATTCATTTAAGGGGTGAATTGCGCAGGTCCTACTTCGTCTGCAATCCGTTCACGAAGCAATGGGTCGCCCTTCCCCTGTCGCCTCAAACAATACTAGCGTATTATGTATCGGCGGCAGGGCTAGTTTGCCAGCCCCGCAGCGGTACCGATAGCTCGAGCGACTTTTCGGAGTATCGATTCCGCGTGGTGTGTCTTTTCCAGCGCGATTTGTGTCGAATCATGCAGGTGTTTTGTTCCAAGTCTGGGGAATGGAGGGAGATGCATATGCGGAATGAGAACTTCACTGGATTGCCATTCACCAATGCGCTCACATGGAATGGGAAGCTGTGTTGGGCGGATTACGACGAATATACGGCTAGCTCAGTGCTTTTTGGATATGATCCTTTCCGGCCTTATTCACCCGCTGAACCGATTTATGAACATTCTCGGCTGTGGGGACATTTCTCGGTCTCCCAGGGTGCTCTCCACATGGTTACATTCCTAACTGAAGATTCAACGAAATCGTTAAGCGTTTGGAGACAGGAAGGAGACGATTTGAGAAGGAAATATCAAACGGTGTTGAAGATGACATCGCCATCGTCGTGGGGCGACTACAAACTCGAGGATTGTTTCGTGCTTGATCTGCACCCGGAGGAGCCGGAAATTGTCTTCTTCGAATACCAGAAATCTCCTCAATGTATCTTCTTCTGCAATTTGAGGAAGGGGACGGGGGAGCCGGAGTTCTTTGCTGCAGCAGAGTTTTGTTCGAGTGATCCCGCTTGGAGGGTGCTGCAGCCTAGAGTCTCCTGCTGGCCTACTCCGATTCCGAGGTACGAGGAGCTGCGAGGTGTGTACGATGGAAGCTACGATTGTTGGGTTCAGAACGGCGGCACGACGGCAACACTAACCTCAACGATAGGTAAGTAGTTCGAATATTTACCCCTTTTTTTCCCCTAGCCTGCCAATCTCTCGATTTCTTTATGTGACGTGGCTCCTGATATTTTTGCATCACATCTCAATTATGAGAAGAGTACCAACCCTTGGTTGAGCAATCTCGTCGTGGAGGGAATATTGAAGGAACCAGAAGGTCGGGTCGGGCTCACAAACCCAATCCGAAGTACTGCTCAACTTGATTGTTTCATATTTAAGTTCGCATTGCATTTTTGGGAAAACTCATGAAGAGAAATCAATAAACAAACTCCCCAATTCCTAACTTCCCTATTCTCCCTATCTTCTTCATATTCCTTCTTTTTCCATCTCAATCTACGTCGATGACTAAACGTGGTAAGACTCGTAAAGTTAGTGACGGTTAATAAAAAAAAATAATTCAAATGGCAAACGAATTTTTTATATGTAATTTGAGTGACCAAATATATAATTAGTCATCAAACTGCAATCCACACACATTTTTTATCGAGCTACTGCCACTCGAATTATTTGCGGATAGATTTATATTAAATCGCTGATTAACCATCTACGCTCCCACCCTACGTTGCTGGGAGTAGGGCTGCAAATGAGCTGAGCTACTCGCGAGCGGCTCGGTGTTCGACTCGAGAAAAGCTCGTTCGAAACTCGGCTCGTTAATAAACGAGCCGAACGAACATGAGCTAAGCTTTGCTCAACTCGCGAGCTAGCTCGACTCGGTGGCTTGTTGAGCTAAACTCGTGAGCTGGCTCGTTTAGAGCTCATGATATGTCTCAACATGTGGCTAGAGAGCCAACTCGATTACCGACTTATGGACGAATCAATCTATATCTTATGATTTTAATTCATATGGTTGTTAAATTATATATCTCACCATATATAAAGTTTAACACGTTGAGTATGTAAGCAAATATATCTTAGTTTCCACTTTAAAACGAAATCATGTATCATAAATTGCTTCGATACTATGAAATAACATGATTTTGAGTAGTTAATATTTATTAACTAAATGATATATGATACCAACAAAATATAATATGAGGTTAGCTAACAAAACAAATCATATGTATCATGATATATAAAATGAAATATCAAATAAAAGTCAAGATATTAGTAAACAAGCTAACTCGAGCCGAGCTCAAGCTGGGGTAAAACTCGACTCGACTCGGCTCATTTGCAGCCCTAGCTGGGAGAAGAGAATGAGAGGAAACGGTTGGGACTTGGGTGCAATGTTGTGTGTCTAAGCTGCTATGAAATCGCAGCAACATATGTTCTTTGTTCTTTTCTTTTTGGGCTCTTGGCCCGTCTCCAAATCCAGTATCCGGATTCCAACAGCCACATTTATAAGAGCCCAGTCTTTGAAATTTAAAGCCTGGGGCCCATTACGGCCTCGCAGGCTGCAGGATTTCCCGCGCTTCTCCAACCCTACCATTCTGCATCAGTAACTCCGTCACCTCCAGCGGCGCGTCTAATCCCATTATCTCAATCCGGCCGTCAACATGACCGAGAATGACAGGGAACTGCCGCTGAGCTCACTCCTTCCCACTATCGCCTCCAAAAAACGGCGCGGGATCCGCCTACGGCGAAACCCTCCTCCTCCTCTCCCCGATCAATTCAGCAAACTGATTGACGATCTCATCATCGAGATCCTGATTCGCCTCCCAAACCCTAGATCCTCCTGCCGCTGCAAACCCGTCTGCAAGCGGTGGAGATCCCTAATCTCCGACCCCACCTTCAATCGCCGTTTCGTTTCTCATCACCAGAATAGGTACCGACCAGCTTCGCTGTTCCTCCCCGCACACGACCCCGACTCCGTCCTCGACTTCCTCCCCGTGCCCGACGAAGCTCGACGGAAATTGAGAGTCTTCGATTGCTTCCAGGACTTGCTCTTGTGCGGGTTTGTCAAATTCACTTGCGAATTGCGCAGATCGTACTTCATCTGCAATCCGTTTACGAAGCAGTGGATCGCCCTCCCCCTGCAGCCCGAATTGCCACCGCATATTGAATCGGCAGCAGGGTTAGTTTGTCGAGCCCGTTCTTGTTGGAGTAATTACAATCTTGTGCAGCAGCAGCAGCAGCAGCTAGGAGGTGAACCAGAACCACCGCCCTTTGTTTGTTATTCGGAGTATCGTTTCCGCGTGGTGTGTCTTTTCCAGCTTCCATTGAGCTGTCAAGTACTGCTGGTGTTCTGTTCCGAGTCTGGGAAGTGGAAGGAGATGAATCTTGAGCACTACGCTAAAGTGCCGCTGGGCAATGCGCTCACATGGAACGGGAAGTTGTTTTGGGTGCAGTATGACCTCAATAACTATTGCTCTGTGTTCGCTATGTATGATCCTTTCCGCCCTTATAAACTCCCTGGATGGAAAAATGCACCTTATAGTTTGTGGAGGTATTTGAGCAATGGAGATGGAAATGGGAATTTCTCAATCTCACAGGGTGCTTTACACATAATTGTACTCGAAGCTGGCCGTCCAGATAAAGTGTTGAGTGTTTGGAGACAAGTAGAAGATCGTTGGACCTTACAATATAAAACGGTGTTGAAGACGACATCGCCATCGTTTTGGGGCGACTATAAACTCAAGCATTGTTCTGTGATGGATCTGCACCCGGAGAAGCCGGAAGTTGTCTTCTTCCAGTACCGGGAGTATCCTGAATGCATCTTATCCTGCAATTTGAAGACGGGGATGGGAGAGCCGGAGTTCTTTTCTCCGGCGGAGTTTTGTACGAGTGATCCCTGTTGGAGGGCGTTGCGGCCTAGAGTCTCCTGCTGGCCTACTCCGATTCCGAGGTACGAGGAGTTGCGAGGTTTGTACGATGGAAGCTACGATTGTTGGGTTCAGCACAACAACGATCATACGACAACCCTTCCATCAACAACGATTGGTAAGCACTTCGAATTCGCCTTTTTCCCCAGCCTGCCATTTTATCGATTTCTTTATGTGGTGTGGGTTCTTATATTTTGCTTCCCATCTCTCAATTATGTGAAGAATACCAACCCTTAGTTGAGCAATCTAGTCGTCGGAGGAATGTTGAAGGGACCAGAAGGTCGGGTCGGGCTCACAAACCCAACCCAAAGTACCGGCCGAATTGAGTGCTTCAACTTCAACAATCGGTTTTTCTTCTCTGTCTCTACAGTCTACACCCAGTGATTGTTGTGGGAAGGAATCCTTCTGACTTGAGCTTGTTGAAGTTGAAGGGCAGTTGAAGGAGAGGGCTCAGCATTTACCTGGAGTTGGGCCGTAACAGTGTGGGCCTAATAGTGGGATCCACTGGGCTCGTTGACCATTCTGGCATTTGGGCTCTCATAAGTCATAAGTCAAAAGTCAATTTCTACGATGAAAATATTCTTTGTTTGTTTTTATCTGTGTCGTTAACAAGGGAAAGAAGCGAGGTAGACGAAATCCATTTTGCAGCTGGAGTTGGAATCAATCCACTTTCAAGTTTCTCGATATAGGTAGAAATCCTCATTCTGTGGAGTGGTATTGTGGCTTCTTTTCTTGGCAAAGGTAGAAATCCTCATTCTATCTCTTTCCATTGGATCACAAACTCATTTTTTTTTATTATAACTTTAAAGTATATCTATATATTAAATAAATTAAATATAGATTTTCCAATTTTATCGAAACCCTTAAAATTAAAAAAAAAATCTATTGCATGTAATGTCTCAAAATCGAGTTTAAAAACTTTCGTTTTTTACGCTTATAGATCACCAAAACATTTCTATATAGAAACGCACTTTCGACTACATTACTCTTTAACACCAATAAAAGAACTAGCCTTCTCGACTTGGCACGATCCCCTCTTCTTTAGTCCCGTGAGACCCCCTCCAGTCTAATCGTCCAGAGGGAGTTATTACCATTGTGCTAAAATGATGAGAAGTATTCTACCCAACAAAAAAAAAATTGATGAGAAGTAACTAAAGTGAATTTATTACATTATACATATCTATTTGCTTCTGAAACTTGTATTGACTTTATTGGTGGCAACTGCAAGTGTTGAAACAACTATTTACCTTTCGGTTACACCAAGATCGGACTCGAATAAACGATTAGCTCACTAGTCATTGTTTGATGAGATATATTGAAAGAAAATTTCTTCAACACAGAATGCACAATTTTTGTAAAACATTTAAACACGTCATGATAATTGGTTATAACTCGTGGTCTCATACTAGTTATATATTTTATTATTTAAGAAATCATATGTCATTCAACATAGCAACAGTCCCTGCCAGCGGATGTAATGCGAAAAGTATTTCAAGCTTTCTTGCTTCCTCTTGGATTTCAAGCTCTTGGGAAATTTTGTGGCAATTGGGTTTTGGTTTTCAGAAACAAACAGCCGAAGGAAGGAATGGCCTAATTTGATTGACAAGTCGAAGTCAAACAAACAGCCGCCGTAGACAAGTCAGTGGAGCAAGTTGTCGTGTCGGACAAAAGAAGAACCGAACAGAGTGAAAGACTGAGGAATCTTCGTCGTCATGGGTTAAAGAACGACTTGGGGAGTCCGGAGTCGTCTTTCTCCAATCTATATATCCTTTCATTAAAGCCCTTTATAGCACTCACCAAACCTCTGTTTCTCTGAGCATTCCGCAGGGGAATGGAACCAATCGCTTCTTCTTCTTCTTCTTCTTCTTCTTCTACCTGTTCTACCCTGCCGTCTCTTCTTCCGGCACGAGAGTACGAGGTTTTCCTGAGCTTCAGGGGATTCGACGTTCGCAATACCTTTTCCGATCATCTCTACGCCTCTCTGTCGCGTTCCAAAATCCGCGCGTTCAGGGACGAGGAAGAACTCCCCAAAGGGGAAGAGATCTCCCCTTCCCTCATCAGGGCGATCGGCGAATCGAAGATTTACATCCCAATTTTCTCGGAAAACTACGCTTCCAGCAAATGGTGCCTTCAAGAATTGGCACAAATGGTGGAATGCTGCAAGCGAGAGAAAGGGCACCTGTTTCTCCCCATTTTCTACCTCGTGGATCCTCGAGACGTGCGGCATCAACAGGGTCCGTACGAGCAGGCGTTCGAGCAACACGCTCAGAAGCATAGCTCGCATACCGTACAGGGATGGAAGGAAGCCCTCCAAGTTGTCGGCAAAATGAAAGGATGGCACGTCACGGAATCGAACGGGTAACTTGAATTTCTTACACTCTGTTCTCTTAGATCATCTGGTAATTAGTACTAATTACTCTCCTGCTAGTCCTAACGTTAGATTAGTATGATGTATTGATTAAACTAAGAGTAGCTTAGCTCTGTAAATCTTTGATTGCATCTTGATGGGTTATCAAATTTCCTTTCTTGGTGGTTGTGTGTTTCGATGTTTTTGGAACTCTCCGTTGATATCAATTTGTGTTTAATTTCCAGACAGGGGGTTGTGATAAACGAGGTCCTCTCCAAAATCGAGTTACATTTGAGAAGGATTTATAGGTTGGTGACGGACGAGTTAGTGGGTATTGATACTCATGTGGAAGAAGTGGTGAAGCTGTTGAACTTAGGGTCGAACAACCCAAAAGTCATTGGCATTCATGGAATGGGTGGTATAGGTAAAACCACGCTATCCAAGGCGGTTTATAACAAGATTTCTGCACAGTTTGATCGATGTTGTTTTTTAGAAGGGGTAAAGGAAACATTGACAAGAAATGACGGAGTTATATCTTTGCAGAATAAGATTATCTCCAGTATTTTGAGGCAGGATTATCAAGTTGAAAATATGAGTGAGGGTATCAATGTGATAAAGGAGAGAGTTTGTAAGCACAAACTTATTCTTGTTCTTGACGACGTAGATGATAAGTTTGAATTTGATCAGATTTTAGGAAAATTGAGAGATTTTTCCTTAGAAAGTAGATTCATTTTCACAACAAGAAACAAGAGGGTTCTAGATTTCTTTGTTGGATGTAAAATCTATGAAGTGGGAGAAATGAGTCCTCATTATTCCCTTAAACTTTTTAGCAAACATGCTTTTAGGACAGATCATCCTCCGAAGGAGGACGCAGTGATAAGTAAGGAATTTGTAAAAGTAGCTGCTGGGCTTCCTTTAGCTCTGAAGGTTATGGGATCACTTTTATTTCACAGAGAGAGAAGGTTTTGGGAAGATAAACTGAAACAGTTCAAAGGCATACTCTCTCTTGAAAGTGAAGTGTCGAAGATAATGAAGATAAGTTACGACGAGTTGACTCCCACCGAGAAACAGATCTTTCTCGACATCGCTTGTCTTTTTATTGGATCAAAGAAAGAGGCGCTCTACAACATGTGGAATGCCTGCAGTTTTCATCCAGAGAGTGGAATTAACACTCTCGTCGATAGATCATTGATGAAACTCGATGAAGACAATCGGTTTTGGATGCATGATCATATCAGAGATCTTGGGAGAGCTATCGTGCAAGAGGAAGACATTCGACATCCACACAGACGCAGCAGAATATGGTCCGAGAAAGATGCGATGGACTTGTTGAGAAACAACGAGGCAAGTATATTAATACTCGTTTAAGTGATTGACCTAGCTGGATATCAAAAACATCCAATCCATTCAGATTTTACAATATGGATGTACTAACTAATTACGTTCCTATCATTGCAGGTAAACAATCGGGCAGAGGTTCTTATGGTGGATATGCTGCGGTGGAAAAATGAAGTTCTGACAGAGAACGAGTTCAAGAAACTACACTGGTTGAGGTATCTGGAAGTGCGCAAAAGAAGCTTGACGGGCGATTTCAGCAAGATTCTTCCAAATCTATGCATGCTCCGACTGTACGTTTGCGACTCGACTCCCGCCAATCTCAACATGAAGAAACTGGTCGTTCTCGATCTCGAGAGTTGCGGGGTGGAAGACAACTGGAGAGGATGGAAGGAAATGCAGTTGGCACAAAAGCTAGCAGTCATAAATCTTCGAGATTGCCAGGAGTTGACAAGAGCACCCGACCTGTCGCAATGTGTCAGCCTGGAGTCGATCAACATCGAGGGATGTTCCGCGATGAAAGGAGCTCTGCACATCGGCAATTTCAAGAACCTGAAAACCCTGAAGCTCGTCGGGACCCAAATCACCGAGCTGACAGGTGACATCCGAATGCTTCAAAAACTGGAGGAGATCGACGCTCGTCATACGGATCTGAGAGGGCTACCCGCCGGAATTGACAGTTTGACCTCTCTCAAAACCCTGAACCTGGCGTCAGAGGACGAGGTTACGCCTCACAGTATGAAAGTGGGTAGACTTCCCACAAGTTTGAAGAGGTTATCCATCTCGTCTCGCGGCGAGATTCCGAACCTTTTAGAGCTCAAGGAGTTGGAGTCCTTGAGTTTTTCCCGTTGTTATCATCTTCAGATTCCTGAAGACATTGGGGAGCTGGTCAATTTGAAGGAATTGATTGTATGGAGATCCCCATTGGATGCTCTGTTTCCGCTGAAAGCCCTGCCATCGTCTTTAACCACTTTAGCTGTTGTGGATTGCGGCAAATTGTGGAGACTTCCCAGTCTGGCAAATCTGAACAAATTGACGGCTCTCAATCTCAAACAGTTGGGGGCATGGGAGATTCGCGGGCTGGGAGAGCTGAGAGCGTTGAAGACCATGGAGATCACCGACGCGCCGAATCTGAACAAGCTCGACGGCCTCGAAACTCTGTTCCACCTCACACACTTGAAGCTGGAAGGCTGTGGCAGCCTGGCAAAATTGCCCAGTCTGGCAAACCTGATCAAGCTGCAGAGGCTCGAGATCATCAATTGCGGACAGCTGAAGGACAAGGTTACAGGGCTGGAGAGATTGGTGTCGCTGGAACACCTGAGCTTCGAAGGTTGCACATCGATTCGAAAGCTTCCCACGGATATGTCCAAGTTAAGAAAACTCGAGCACTTGAATGTTCGCCGCTGCACGAAATTGATGGAGGCCACAGGGATCGAGGGACTGGAGTCGTTGCGGTTGCTGGACATGTCCGGTTGTAGCTCGATAACAAAGTTGGGGGATCTTTCGGGGCTCAAGAATTTGGTGGAACTGCACATGAAGAAATGCACGAAGCTGACCCGTGTCACGGGGATCGATCGACTGGAGACGTTACGAGCACTAAAAATGTCGGGCTGCAGGTCGATCAAGCAGTTGGGGGATCTATCGGGCCTCGAGAATCTGCACACACTGGACATCAGCGGATGCATCGAGCTGACCGAGGTGAAAGGGATCGAGCGGTTGCCATCGCTAGAATATCTATGGATGTCCGATTGCAGGTCGATCAAGGAGCTGGGCAACCTCTCGGGACTGAGGAAATTGAGGCAGTTTCACATCAGGGGATGCACAGAGCTGACCGAGGTGAAAGGGCTCGAGCGGTTGCAGTCGTTGGAGTATCTGTGGATGTCGGATTGCAGGTCGATCAAGGAGTTGGGTGATCTTTCTCGTATGAAAAAGCTGAGGGAGTTTGATATCAGGGGATGCACGCAGCTAGCTCAGGTGAAGGGATTGGAAGAGCTGAAGTGGCTATGGGACCCGCGAATGGACAAGAGGTTGAAGGTGAAGTATCTGTGGGAAAGATATGGGGAGCGACAGGTGAACCGGGTCGTGAGATTTGCACATGAGAAGCACTTAAGGAGGAGGCACAGTCGCAATGGCGCTCAACCCCTCAGCCCAGGAAAGACTTAGATTTCCTTTCATTCCATGACAGCAATTTTTTCATCAAATAGATTCGTTTTTTATCAAGTTAAAAATGATGCTAAGTTTGCTACATGAATGATCTGTAATTGGGCTGACAATTCTACTAGGAAAGGAATGTGCTTTCAGGGTTGAATCTGTAAATTGATGTAGCCATGTAGAAGATTTGTTGTATATGTTCTTGCAAGTAAAGAGCAGAGCAGAGCAGGTAGCTCAATTAGTTTACACAAATGTTTGGTTACTAGTTTGAAAGTGGCTTGGTGTCAGGGCATATTCTAATACACTTGCTAAAACCAAAGACCGCCAACAAAAAAGCAATCAAATACAACAAAACTGGAGAGAGATTCTACCCTCTATTATGTTTCACCTAATACGTTATGATCTCTACTTTAACCACCCACAAGGCGCCATTTTCGATGCCGCAAGACCCAATACGTGGATTCAGTCAGTGATTTCTTATACCAATACTGGTTCAATTATGGATGGTTTTGGTTAATAATAATCTATGATTGGAGGGACATCTTGATAAGCTTCTCTTTTCCCTTGAGTAATTAAGTATACTCTGTTTTCAATTAAGAAAAACAGGGGAACTTGATTACTGTTTTGCTCTTGCTTCGGGGTTGATGAATGAATGGACGACTCCTGTTTTGGAATTACTGCGGTTAAAATAATACAAAGGAAAAACAGTGTGTTGAGAAAGAAGAGGCGGCAAAAGTTAGTTAAAGAAGTATTTTAAGGTTGTTGGAATGATGGGGAAAAAAAATTTGGTTCAGTTTTGACTGGAGAAGGAGAAGACCTAACGAGTTAAGAACTAAAAACCCAACAAGAAAGATTCTTTCTTCCTACCGTACCAAAGCCCAACCTCAGCATTAGCAAGCAGAAAGAGAGACCCATTTGAGAGTTGAGAGAGAGATTCTGTGCTCCGTCATCATTTTCTCCTTCTTTCTTCCCCCACGATTTTGTCAGCCAGGTTAAAGTGGGAAAAAAATGTTGAAAAGGGCTTCAATAGATTTTGCTTGAATAGGGAATCTATTGGCGTTTCTTTTGTTATTGTTTGGGGTCCAAATGAATCAATGAAATGAAAAATGGCTTGATGACGGTGCAGGGGAGGAGGGAGGAGAAAGAATGGTCATATTCAGGTTCAGAGTCTCAGCCATGGTACAAAGTAGCAGAAGAAGATTAGACTCAAACAGTGAACTTTGCTTCTTCTCTTCTCTCTCTATACTTGTTGTTTGCTTCTATGCAAAAAAATATAAATTTCTTTCCTTTCTCAGTTCCCTATAGTGCTAGCCATAGCTTCCTCTGGTCTTTGCTTCATCGCACAATGGCCACTACTCTGTTTTCTTTTGGGGGGAGGAGTTCTGTGCTCTGTACCAGTAAATCACTGTACTTTTTGACTCCTCTTTTTACTCACTAGTCCCTACTACTTCCTTCTCACTCAGTAAGTGTCTTTTCTTTATTTGTTTTTATTCCCTTCCTCCACATAAATCCTCCTGCTACAATCTAGCGCCAAAATCCCTCTCTCCTTTTAAAAAAATCCCCATTTAATCTGATACTGTTACAATTTCTTCTTTTTGTTTTTTGGGTTTGCTAAACACAAGAACAAGAAGAACAGCAAAAGAACACTAGCATCCACCATTTACTTACTCTCTCTTTCTCGAGCCCCTACCTTCTCTGCTTTCACTACTCCTATCCTATAGGCCTGCTCTCTCTCTCTCTCTCTATGCTTTTGCTTGGAGCTTTCTTCTTCCTTGTTTCTCCTCTGCCATTTTTTCTGGTCTCCCTTGTGTCTGGACCCTTCAGCTGTTTGTGGTAATGTCAAACTGAAGAAACCCACATTTACCCAGTTGAGTTCATGAGGTAAACTATCATTTCTCAACTGGGTTTTCCGTTTTTTTTTTTTTTTGTAGTTAGAAGGTGAGAAAGGTAGTGGTGTAAAAGATGGGTCTTTTATGAGCAGTAGCTGAACGAAACCACTTCCTTTGTTTGGAACTAGTTTATGATGGTGTAGTGGATCAGAGTCAGAACCCCACACTTTTTTCTTCTTCTTTTCTTTCTCACCCTTCTCTTTTTGTTTTCTGCTGATGCAGTTTTAGGTCATTTTTAGTGTAGAAGGTTTATGTGTTCCATCAGAGGGCAGAGAGATGAAATGGGTTGGTCTCAAATGCCCCAAAGATTGAAGCTTTCAGCTGAAATCCGTTGTTTTCTGGACAAAGATTTAGATTCTAGCCGTGGAATACCCAGAGAAGATGCTGCATTTTCCTCTCCAGGCCTCTGAAAACCCTTCAACAGCAAACAAAACCTTGTTTTTGCCTACTCCTTTTTCATCCCAAAAGAGGAATAAGCGGATTCTTCCAAAGGAACACAGAAGAAAACCACCTTTTCTAGCTTTTCACTTTCCATCTCTCTAAAATAAAGACACAGTAGTTATCTCCCACGCCTGCTCAAAAAGCCGGAATTCCAAAAAGAAGCAGCAACATCTAAGCCATTCAAACCCCAGTTCTTTTATTTATTTTTTTGTTTTTAACTTGGCGAAGTGTTGAGAAAACAAAACCACAGACAAAACATGGGATGTGTTGCCTCCAGGCTAGAAGAAGAAGAAGAAGTGGTGTCCATTTGCAAGGAGAGGAAACGGCAGCTGAAGCTTGCAGTAGAGAAGCGTCAAGCACTAGCAGAAGCTCACTGCAGGTACTGTCAATCTCTCTATGCAGTAGCAGCAGCAATAAAGCTGTTCGTGGCTCGCCATGCCTCTCCCGCTTCACCATTCCTCATTACTTTCCCGCCTCATAGCCCATCCGCTCCCCAACCTAAAGAAGAAGTGAACAACAACAACAACAACAACAACAACAACATGATAAACAACCCAATGTTTATTGAAGAAAGGCCTTCTGAGTCAACCAATGAAGAGGCCAATGCTTGTGATTCTTATGATTCATCAACAACTTCCTCGGATTCCAGTGACGAAGAGGAGTGTAAAGCAGATATGACGAGGCAACATCAACAAGAGGAACATCAGAGTTATGGGTACTACTACATGCAAATGCCACCACAGCAGGCTGTGGTTCATGAGTCACCAGGTGGTGATTTTGGGTGGGATTTCTTCAACCCTTTTGATGTGATGAGGCCAGAGGTTATGAGTGGGTACAGGAGGAGTTTGGATGATGATTTGAGGGCGGTGAGGGAGCAAGAAGGGATTCCTGAGCTGGAGGAAGAAGGGAGTGTTAGGGAGAGTGGAGATGAGCCAAAGTTGTTTGTTGCTGCTGAAGAAGGGAAAGTTGGAGAGGGTTTTGATAATGGGGATTTGGTTAAGTTGCGTGATGAGGGTAATGGGAATGGAGGGTCTGTTGAACAGAAGGGGCATTCAGTTATGGAGTCACCAGAAAAGGGAAGGGAACTGCTGGATGCTTTGAAGGACATTGAGGATCATTTCATTAGAGCTTATGACTCTGGCAAGGATGTTTCTAAGATGCTTGAGGCTAACAAGGTTTACTTGCAGTCTGGGACGGAAGAAATGAAAGGTAGTGTGAAATTTGTGCTCTTTTTTTGCCTGTTTTTCTTGTTGTGTATGTATTGATCATCCTTCTTTGTTTGGAGCTGTGAAAATCCAAAGAATTTCATTTCATTTGCAATCTGTAAACTTACAATAAAGAGAGCAATCGTACCAGAAGTTTAAATGTTTTTTTTACATAACTTGAACCTGGATTCTCTGCTTACAAGATTCTTTCCTTTGAACTTAGGAATCATTTGTTGTGAAAAGGTCAGAAAGCAAGTCAACACTTCACAACTTACTTTTCATATGTGTCTCGTGTGATTGAACCAGAGAAATCTTTGTCGTCTTTGTCTCCTTGGTTATCATTGCCTGAATATTTCTCCTTTATGCTTTCATGTCTCATGGTTTAAACTATTCACATTAACCTTCCTTGTGGACTAACTCTCATATCTTGTTGCTGCAGAGAATTCAAACAAGATCATCCTAGCTCTACCATGGCACAGGTCAACCTCGTTCAAGCCCTCGTGCAAAAGCCTGGTGGCTTCGAGCTCCAGAAGCACATCGACCTGGACAGAATACACGAATGACCTCTTCGACGGTTGTGGAGGGATGAATGCTGGAAGCCATTCCTCGACGCTTGGAAGGTTGTATGCATGGGAGAAGAAACTCTATGAAGAAGTCAAGGTAAATGACTCTGCTCCTTCATGTTCTGAACTTCCTCAGTGTCATCATATGCTTGACTCTTTTGTATTCCTCTAGGCTGGAGATGCAACAAGAAAACTATACGAGAAGAAATGTTCAAGGCTGAGAAGTCATGATGTGAGAGGCGATGATGAACTCAACATGGACAAAACAAGAGCTGCAATCAAGGACCTTTATGCTCGAATCCTCGTAGCAATCCGCAGTGCTGAATCGATCTCCAACAGAATTGAGAAGCTGAGAGATGAAGAATTGGAACCTCAAATTGTGGAGTTGTTAAAAGGGTAATTTAGTTTGCAGAACTGAATTAGTACTGTTGCCCTTGTTTCCATTGCTATGTTGTTCACTGGCAGCTTTTCATTTACTGCCTTGCACTGTGCAGACTTACACGCACTTGGAAGATCATGATGGAATCCCATGAAAACCAGAACAAGATTCTTACCCAAGTAAAAACATTTGCATGTCCTTCAGCTGGCAAGTTCAGCAATGACTCCCACCGTCTCGCCACCCTCCAACTCGAGGCCGAGCTTCTCAACTGGCGCGCCTGCTTCACAGACTACGTCACAGCATCGAGATCCTACGTGGCGTGCCTCCACGGCTGGCTCACCAAGTTCCTGGTCCCTGAAGTTGAATTCTACTCCAGAAGCAGACGAATCGGTCAAAGCACACCATCCCTTCCCTCCCAAGCTCCCCTGGGCCCTCCATTGCTCGCAATCTGTCGAAAATGGCTCTCGTCGATGGAGAAGCTGCCAGAGGTCCATGTTTCGTACGCGCTCAAGGCATTCGCCAAAGACGTGAGGGCATTGTGGGTTCAGCAAGGGGAGGAGCAGAAGCAGAAGAGGAAAGTCGAGACCTTGATCAAGATGCTCGACAGGAGGACCGTGTCGTTCCACAGGACCGAGACTCGGCTGCTCGAGACCAAGCTCATCGAGTACAACAACGGCGTGGAAGACAATGCCAATTCGGTGAACCCTTTCGAGCATTTGGCCGAGAGGAAAGACGAGCTGGATTTCTTGCAGAGGAAGGTAGAGACAGAGAGGGAAAAGCATTACAACTACATCCAGGAGACGTCCAGGGTCACCTTGAGCGGGTTTCAGACCGGGTTTTCGAGCGTTTTCGAGGCCTTGTCCGAGTTCTCCAAGGCTTCCATGAACATGTATAACGACATTGTGGTGACCAGCTGCAGTCAGAGCACTGGGAAAGTGGAGGGTCAGCCATGTGTGGAGAGCTCCTCCCATGTTGAAGAATGTGAGGTAAGGTGATAGCAGCAGAGGTAAAATTCATTTGGGGTTTGGTTAATCTTTTTAGTAAGGTTTGGGTGTTTAGTTGAGATGGGATTGGTTGTTGTATATTGTATGTTAAACTGATCATGTTGTCAAAGCAGCTCGCTGAGACACATCATGTGTTCGTTTGTGTTCTTGTTAATCTGTCATTAGAGCTAATGAGAACTTTGATTAGCCACCTATTATGGGGATTAATTAATGCCTATTGGTTGGATTTACTGGCCTGACGATGGATCGTTGAAGAAATTCGCACGAGCCGGCGTTGACGACGTGCTCAGCGAACTCCCTCCGTTGTCCGTTCCCGACTTCGGCGGCTCTCCCTCCTTGGGCCGACCCAATGGACCTGATCTACAACTATGGCCTGGCCCACCGGATCCCAACCTTCCAGTTGGCGGCCCAACCCACCGCCACCACCACCCTCCCCGTGAAATTACCATCATCCGTCTTCTACACCAAAACTCCTTCTCCTCCGTCCATTAGGGATGGCAATGAATCGGGTTGGGGCGGATTTTGTCAAACCCAAATCCAAACCCATGGGTTTATCTGTCAAAAAAACCCGAGGTAAAACCCGCTGGGTTTGAAAAACTCAAACCCAACCCGTGGGTATTGTCACGGACCAACTCTTGGCCGTGCGACACTTAGCACTCAAGTCTCGTTAGAGCGCTAAGTCAGCCTTGCTCGTATTCACTCAAACTCACAAGTGTTGGAGAAAACTCTATAGATGGAAATCTCTCTATTTCTGGATGAATGAAAAGTGGTGGAGAGGGCTGCTTATATAGGCATCCTCTCCACTAAGTACAATGTACATGGCCGTCATAAATGAACGAACCTAGATAGTCCCCCCATACATGAACCAGCCCCATACATGAATGTAATAAATAAGATGCATGAATAAAGATAGAAAAGGGGGATGCATGTACATTGGTGCATGAATCGGAAGATGCATGCATGTACTTGCATCGTTCTAGAATGCTCTAGAATCTTCCGCGTAACATTCTCCCTCACTCAATCTCGCGACGCCCTCGTCGCGGACTCCGCATGAAATGTCTCGATCAAGTCTTTGTGACGCCATAGTGAAAGCTCCTTCTCCCAAGTGATGTCGCTTTCTGGCCGCCCCTTCCACTTGACAAGATATTCCGCATAGCTTGGGTGAACACCACGCCTAGGCACAACACGATGAGCCAAGATCTCCTCCACTTCGTGCTCATGTGTTGTAGTGACGAGTGTTGGTGCCCTCGTCGACTCCCTCCGCGCTCCATCTTCCTTGTCTTCATGATATGCCTTCAGTTGACTCACATGGAAGACGGGGTGAATCTCCAAGTGCGATGACAACTCAACTTTGTACGCCACCGTGCCAATCCGCTTCAAGATCGGATATGGCCCTTCATACCGTCGCAACAGCCCCTTGTGCACATTTTTGAGGTGCTTGAATCGATGAGGGAAGAACTTCACCATCACCAAGTCTCCCTCCTCGAATTCCAAGTGACGCCGCTTCTTATCCGCCCACTTCTTCATCTTCTTTGTTGCTCGAGCGAGATAAGACTTCGCCAACTCCATCTTCTCGTGCCACCCTCGTGCAAACTTGTAGGCAGATGGGCTATTGCCCTTGTACCCCGTCGTCACCGTATTAGGTGTCAACGGCTGCTGGCCAGTCGCCAACTCGAACGGGCTCATGCTCGTGGCTTCACTTCGATGCAAGTTGTAGGAGAATTGGGCTACATCCAACAACTTCACCCAATCCTTCTGGTTGGCACTCACGTAATGCCGCAAGTAGACCTCCACCAAAGCATTGACCCGCTCGGTTTGCCCATCCGTTTGAGGATGAAAGCTCGTGGAGAAGTTCAGATCGGAACCCATCATCTTGAACAACTCCCTCCAAAACTTGCCGGTGAAGCGGCCATCTCTATCGCTGACGATGCTAACCGGGATGCCCCAATACTTCACAACATGCTTGAAAAACAAGCGGGCTGCATCCTCGGCCGTCATGTCTTTGGGCCCTGCGATGAAGACGCCATACTTCGAAAATCGGTCGACGACGACCATGATGGAACCACACCCTTCGACTTTGGGAAGGCCGATGATGAAATCCATGCTAACGCTTTCCCAAGGCCGTTGTGGAGTGGGTAATGGCTCCAACAAGCCCGCCGGACTCCGCTGCTCCATCTTGTCTTGCTGGCAAACAAGAAAAGTCTTGACGTAAAGTTCCACGTCGTCCTTCATACGAGGCCAATAGTAAGCCTCCTCGATGAGAGCTTGTGTGCGCTCAATGCCAGGATGACCAGCCCACTTGGAGTCGTGGCACTCCTTCATGATCTCCCTTCATAGGTTGTCCCACCGCGGCACGAACAGTCGCTCCCCCTTAGTCACGATGAGCCCACCTTTCATCCAAAACCGCCGAGTCTTCCCTTGCTTGATGTACTCGACCACGGTTTTGGCAAAGGGGTCGTGGCTAAGGCCTTCTTCAATCCTCTCCTTCAAGGGGAATTGCGGCTGGCTTATGGCGGCAAGTGCGCTCTTTCGACTAAGAGCATCGGCAACAAAGTTGGCTTTCCCCGGCTTGTACTCCAGCACAAAGTCGAACTCGGCGAGAAAATCTTGCCACCTTGCTTGCTTGGGCGTGAGCTTCTTCTGTGTGAGGAAGTAACTCGTCGCCACATTGTCCGTCTTTACAACGAACTTCGACCCCAGCAAGTAATGCCTCCACGTTCTCAAACAATGGACCACCGCCGTCATCTCCTTCTCTTGCACCGCATATCTCCTCCCGGCCTCATTGAGCTTGCGGCTCTCAAAAGCAATTGGGTGCCCTTCTTGCATAAACACCCCACCAATTGCAAAATCGGAAGCATCCGTTTGCACTTCGTACGCCTTGGTTGGATCGGGAAGTGCTAGCACCGGCTCCTTCGTCACCATATCCTTCAAGGCTTCAAATGCTTCGCGGCACCGGTCCGACCATTCCCAAGCCTTGTTCTTCTTTAGAAGATCCGTCAAGGGTGCTGCAAGAGCGGAGTATCCCTTGATGAATCTCCTATAATAGTTGGCCAGGCCGAGGAATGATCGCAACTCGGTGACCCTCGTCAGTGGCTCCCATCCTTGTATCGCCTCCACCTTGGCCTCGTCCATCTTTAGCTTGCCTCCACCGATGATGTGGCCAAGGAAAAGAACCTCCGCTGCTGCAAACGTGCACTTCTCCTTCTTGACATAGAGCTCGTTGTCTTGAAGGACTTGAAACACTTGTCGCAAGTGTTCGGCATGCTCATTGAGTGTGTTGCTGTACACCACGATGTCATCCAAATACACCACCACGAAGCGATCCAAGAACGGCTCGAAAACTTGGTTCATCAAGGTGCAAAAAGTAGCAGGAGCGTTGGTTAGTCCAAAAGGAATAACAAGGAACTCGTATGAGCCATACCTCGTGACGCAAGCGGTCTTTGCCTCGTCCCCCTCGGCGATCCTCACTTGGTAGTACCCCGAGCGAAGATCAAGCTTCGTGAACCACTTTGCTTCTCCGAGTTGATCAAACAAGTCGCCAATATTGGGGATTGGCCACTTGTTCTTCACCGTGAGCTTGTTAATAGCTCGATAATCGATGCACATCCGCAACGAACCATCCTTCTTCTTCTGGAACAAAACGGGTGCTCCATAGGGGGATTTCGATGATTGGATGAAGCCAGCATCTATCAACTCCTTGAGTTGCTTCCTCAATTCCTCCAACTCAGGAGGAGCCATGCGATAAGGTGCTCTTGCTGGTGGCGTCGCCCCTTGCTCAAGCTCGATCTTGTGATCGACTTTTCTTCTTGGCGGGAGCTTCTTTGGCAACTCCTTTGGCATCACGTCCACAGACTCCTCCAACACGCCCTCGATGAGAGGTGTTGGCGCCACCGAGCCTCCTTCTTCCTTCGCACGCAAAGTGACAAGGAACGTGGGTTCATTCCTCTTCATTCCCTTCACCAACTACATGGCCGATAATGCTCTCTTCGGCCCTTCTTCGAGCAACATCTTCACCGCGCAAAACTTGTCTCCCTTGTCAAGGCAAAGAGTGTTGGAACTCATTGCCATCACCGCGCCCTCCTTCTCCATGAAATTGACGCCAAGAATGACCGGATGTTCATCCATGGTGATGACGCTGAAGTCGGCAACACCTTCCCATCCTTCGATCTTCAATGGCACGTTCTTAGCAACGACATGGATGGGTATTGCCTCCGAGTTGACGGTCTTGAGCGATCCTTGCCTCTTCTCGTAAGCGATCCCCAAGCGCTCCGCCTCCTCCACTCGAAGGAAGTTGTCGGTCGCACCGGTGTCAACCAATGCTTTTGACTCGCCTCCCTCGAATTGGGTGATAACAAAGAATCTCCCCTTGCTAACTTCGTTGGCGCCGGACTTCGCCGCGCCTAGCCTCCGCATGGAGCCTATCTTCCCTTCGTCTTCCCTATCATTCTCCTTGGTCTCCCCTTCTTGTTTCTCCAAGGCTGCTAGCTTGCTCTTCTTTGGGCAATCTCGCACCTTATGTGGACCGTTGCAAAGAAAGCAAGACATGGGTTTGTCAAAGTTACCAGATCTTGCCCCCTTGCTCGAGCCTCCATGTTGGTACGAGCCTTTCCCTTCCTTGGAGTGCTGCCGATGATCTCCTCCCTTGCTCTTCGAGTTCTTCGACTCGTTCGGCCGCTCACTCTTCTTGTACTCCGTGAGAGCCTCTGCCGTTGCTAAGGCAGTAGCAAGATCTTGCACTCCGCGCCTCTCGAGCTCCAACTTCGCCCAAGGCTGCAATCCGAAAAGGAAGCTAAACAAAGCCTCCTTGTCCGGCAGATCGGGGATCTCGAGTAGCAATTCCGAGAACTCCTTGACATAGTCACGAATTTCGCCGGTGTGGGTGAGTCGTCGAAGTTTTGCACGAGCCTCCATTTCGACATTCTCCGGGTAGAATTGTCTCTTGATTTCCCGACGGAAATCCTCCCATGTGTCCATCACACATGTGCCTCTCTCTATATCACCTTGCCTCCTTCTCCACCAAACCATGGCTGTGTCGACCAAGTAAAGGGAGGCAGTGCGCACCATGACTTCATTATCATTGATGCCCGAAGCCTTGAAATACTGTTCTAGGCTCCAGAGGAAATTCTCTAATTCCCTCGCATTCCTCGACCCACTGAAGTTTTTAGGCCTTGGAACATCTACTCTTGGTGTGGATTGAGTCGCGGCAGGTCCGTTTGCCACGGCTCGTTTGACGAGATTGATCTCTCCTCGAAGCTCGTCAACCTCTTCCCTTACTTCGTCCACCTGGCCTCGAACCGTCTCCCTCAAGGAGTCGATGGCGTTGGTGATGATGGTCACAAACTCGTCTCTGAAAGCTTCTAACCCCACCTCCAAGCCTGACATTCGAGTGCCCATGCCTTGCATGTCGTCCTTCGAAGCCTGCACCTCTCCGCTGACTTGATCGAATTTCGACTCCATGTTCTCGAACAAGGTTGTATGCTTGGCAATTTTCGTCTCCGCTCTCTTGAGCCTCTCCTCGATCGCCACCAAAGGCTCTCGAGTTGATCTATCACGATGCTTCTTTGCATTTGGATCCTTCTTCTCCTCACGACCGCGTTGTTCCTCATTGTTGAGAACTTCGCTTCCGGATCCAGCCATCTCCTCGAGGTTCTTTCTCACTTGATGAGCTACGACCTTGGCTCTGATACCACTTGTCACGGACCAACTCTTGGACGTGCGACACTTAGCACTCAAGTCTCGTTAGAGCGCTAAGTCAGCCTTGCTCGTATTCACTCAAACTCACAAGTGTTGGAGAAAACTCTATAGATGGAAATCTCTCTATTTCTAGATGAATGAAAAGTGGTGAAGAGGGCTGCTTATATAGGCATCCTCTCCACTAAGTACAATGTACATGACCGTCATAAATGAACGAACCTAGATAGTCCCCTCATACATGAACCAGCCCCATACATGAATGTAATAAATAAGATGCATGAATAAAGATAGAAAAGGGGGATGCATGTACATTGGTGCATGAATCGGAAGATGCATGCATGTACTTGCATCGTTCTAGAATGCTCTAGAATCTTCTGCGTAACAGTATCCGCGGGTTCATGGGTACCCGTGGGTTTTTTGTGGTAAAAAATTTACAATAACAAGTTTCTTTCAAAATAAAAGTTTAACATCAATTTTCTCATACAAATTATTCATATAAAAAACACCAATCTAGAGCATACAAGCAAACCGCAAATGATCAATACAAATTGCTCAAAATTAAAGATAAACATCTATAAACAACAAGATTAATTGAAAGCTTCTTCCTCGTCAAATAAGTTTCTTCACTCTCCACTCCATAATATCAACTTCATTCTAAACAATTAGAAAGAACAAATTATACATGTCTACACAAACATAAAAAATATTAGTTGTGTAAGGAAGATATATAATTTACAATATTAAATATACCGGGAAAATAATTATATATGTGAGCGGGTACTCATGGGGCGGATTTACCTAAATCCAAACCCAACCCGTTGAATAGTGTACCGGGTTTAAACCCAAACCCGACCCAAAACCCGTCAACACGGATTTTACCCGCATTGACCAGGTTGGGTCGAATGGGTACCCGTGGGTTCGGGTTTTGTTGCCATCCCTACCGACCATAGTTATATTATATATCCCAAACCCTAAATAATTATCCGCCGCTCCAAAATCCCACCGGAAATTAAAACCTTGCAATGGCGGTGCAACGCAAACAAACCACAAGGAAACGCGAACCAGCCGCCGCCAGCGGTAGGAACAACAACGACAGGCTGAGCGCCCTCCCCGACGATCTCCTCCGGCGCATCCTCATCGCCGCCGACCTCGACACCGTCACCGCCGTCCGGACCATCCTCTTCTCCACCCGGTGGCGCTCCCTCTGGAGATCGTGCCTCCCATCCCTCCGCTTCCGATTCCCTTCCTCCCACCACGACGAAGGGAAGAGCGCCCGCCGTTACCGCGTCCTCGTGGAAAACGTGCTCTCCCTCCGCGACTCCTCCCAACTCGCCTTCCTCTCCCTCGCAGCGGACAACCACCTCTCCAACAAATGGGCCGAAGTTCTGGACCGGATCTACGCCTACGGACTGGCCCACCACGTCCCGACTTTCCATCTCACGGCCCAAACCACCACAACCACCCGGCCCGTGCGTGCACTCTCGTTAATCTCCACGCGCCTCGCCTCCCTCTGCGCGTCGGTCCAAACCCTCTCCCTCTCCTTCCTCCGCTTCGACCTCCACGGGCTCACCGCCAAGTCGTGGAACCTCCCGTCCCTGACGTCACTCAGCCTCCGCCGCTGCGTCATCAGGCAGCCCGGCTGCTTCGGCGCCCGCCACGCGCCGTTCGAGATGATCCCGAATCTGGAGAAGCTGGAGCTGGCCGACTGCGATTTCGAGGCGGCGGCGGTCGTCACGGTGTCGGGGGAGAAGCTGGCGGAGATCGATATCGTGCTCTCCGACGATACGGTGGTGCAACGGCAACCGCCGTGGATCGAGGTGTCCGCGCCGAGGTGCCGGAGAGTGACGTGTCGAGGCGTCCACCTCGATAGGTGGCTGAGCGTGGAGCTACCGTCGCTGGAATGCTTGGACGTCGACGGCCGGGTGAGCAGCCGGAGCTCGGAGGAGCGTCTTCGGTTCGTTCGAATGTTCGAGAAGTTCGGCAATGCGGAGCGTGTCAGGCTCCATCCCAATTCCTTCGAGGTATCGTACGTTGTTATAAGAACCAAATCGAATTAGCAGTCGGGCCAATAGAACCAATACGAATTACTAATTTTATGTATGCTTTTCTTTTCTTCGTTTTTCTCCGGCCGATAGCTTAACGTGATCCACTGCGGATTGTCGCCCTAGTTACTAACTTGAATTGAACAAAATATTTTATGAACTATTATGTGGGATAGTATGATTCATTTTTGTTAATACTTTTTTTGATGATGAATGATATGTATTTAAAGTTACATATGTGGTTAGTAATAACTTTTCATTATATATGTCTTTTTATGTTAAACAAACATTTGCATGAACGATTCTATAAATGATTAACCACTAATTTTTTTTTTTGGTTAGCAGGCGCTTACCCAGGACTTCGGACTATTAGAAAAACAACATCCTCGTGCTTTCAAGAGAATCAAGTGTCTGGAACTTGATACCAGCTGGTATAATGTTGAACCCAGAAGAACAGAGTTTAACTCTCTGATAAAATACATGTTTGATGACTACATTGGAGGGCCTACTGTCGTACTAGATCAACGTACTAATTACATATGTGTCACAAGGTACTTAATTTAATTACTTCTTCTATATATGTTTCTTTATTTTATTTCCCCTCCAACCCATTTTCATTTTGACTGCACGAGCTCAACGTAGGTAGAGGATTATCGTTCATTGATCGAATCTGACTGCATGCATGCAGATACCAGTGACAACCCTACAAATCTCGGGTGGGTGCGTTTGGAATTCGAGAGATTTCGGTCTTCAAATCTTGATATTTGTCCTTTTTGGTATGTTTTCACAATTGGAAGGGTTGTTTCAGTCGAAAAAAATAGTTGTTTATAGTTTGATAATTAACTATCAAATTACCGATGATTTTGCATTTGTAGAATCGTTTATATACCCTGTAATATCAATGACATATATAACATTACAAGTCTATGACTTAGTTGGTCGCTAAAGATACCTGGAAATGAAGAAGAGGTGAAATAAAATCCTCTAGTAGTGCTTAGATTTCTTGGCTCATGTTAAAGATATTTTTTCTCGAACTTTTATTTAGTTGAAATAATATAACGCAGTGGATCAATGAAATCAAGATGATTCTGTTGGTAAATCAGGAAACACATGGAAATTGTTTTGTATTATTACTGAAATTTTATTGGGTTTATATAGAGTATAATGCGATAGTATTCTATAATATTAATAATCATAACACTGATATGATAAAATACGTAAGTTCTATGACTCCGTTTAAGAACGTAACTCTGTCACATTAAATAACAATCTTGTAGTATAACATAATAATAGTCAAATACTCCTTATAGATTCATCTGGTTACCGTCCAGGATGTGGAAGCACGAAGACATTATGCTTTATATCATCAATTTTGAAGGCTATTCATCATAGATTTTTGTCATTTTTTTAATGTATTATTTTTCGGTTTTGAATGCTATTTGTCACAGATTTTGACCATTTTTTGAATGCTATATGTATTTAAAAAATTATCTAAAATCTGTGATGGATAGGCTTCAAAATTAATGAATAATAACATTAAAAAAATTGACAAAATTTTATGAGGATAGCCTTCAAAATTGGTTAATAATAGCATTTAAAATATTTGACCAAACTATGTCATGGATATCCTTCAAAATTAATGATATATATTTCATTAAAAAAACGAGCTGTAACAGGGAACGGGACGGAAGAATTGAAAACGTAACAGGCTGTAACGGGGAAGATGCAAGAGCTTTAGGGTTGGGAATAAAAGGAGGGCAAAATTGACATTTTGCCTTCTATTTTTTTTTTTTGTCGCCAGGTCACCCAGACCACCGTTCGACCGGTTTAACGTTTTATGACGGGATTTATAATAGAGGGCATGTTTGATAATGATTTTAAGATAAATGTATTTTTTATATAAATGAATAATACAACTCAAAGTAGATGGGCATGTTTGATAACAACGCATAGTAGAGTGGCATTTTATACATATAACTCATCCTATCTTTGATGGATAGCTTTCAAAATAAATGAATAATAATATCATCTATAAAATATATTGAAGCATATTCATGACTCCAAATTGCTCGGTTTTGAAAATGCAGGCCTGGGAGTGTTTCCCGGTGGGGTATTATGGCCATTTCACTCCATTAAAATGTGACGCTGCGTTTTGTGATAGAAGCCCTGCCCAAACACGAATTCCGTTTTGTGAATGGGGTGTTGCGTTTCGTTTTTTATCCTACGCGACAAAAACGAATGCTGCGACGGCATCGTTTCCCAAAAATATACGGGACAAGCAAGCCCCATCTTTCCCTTTTTTTTCTCCTCTGATTCTAGGTTTGACCCAACTTCAGTTTTTCTGTCGTCTTTCTGCCGATTCCAGTCCTCCGGCAAACAAATCCACTGTCCCATTATCCCCTTCTTTTTGCCTGCCCCTGTTCCTAATCTGCGATCCCTATTTCCTTTTTCTCCTTACTTTTCGCCGTAATTCAGTTTGCCGGCCAACCACTAGATTCGTGGTGTGATTGCAACCAGATTGGTGGCGCGATTGAAGGCGGATTGGTGGTTGTTTTTGCGCTCAGGGGAAATATTGTCGCCAATCTCATAACCAAACTTACGCAGATGAAAACTGAAGGTATGCAGGTAGATCTTTCTTACTTCCTCTCAAGTAAAGAAGCGTTTTCCATGGATTTTAATGAGACCTCAGTCTCATTATTTTGTTCAAGTCTGGTCGTACTACTCCTATCTCCAATCCCTTTATGTTTCCTATTTTAGTCTAATTTAATCGGCCCTTTGCTTCTTCCCAACAACATCGTCAGTTCGTCACTACATAGTACATACGAGATCAATCCCTAAATTCCAAGTAGTACCATCATCAGAGATAAAAGCACAAGAAGCAGACATTCTTTTTGGCATTTTCTTTCTTTTCCCATTAGTGTGCTATACACTTAATTTATGTTATGACTTGGTTTAACTGGTCTTGCTTCCGTCCATGAATTTGGGTCTCTTAAAGTCCCGATTATTCCGGTTACTTGAGATACAAATGTTTTGCCAAGTGACTTTTGTCACAGAGTGGTATTGTCAAGAGATATCTCTTAGATGCAGCCATGAGACAGTTTAGTGAAGAACCATGACTTAATTTATTCCTTCCGAGGTGGAAGACATGTTTCTGGTTTACATATATATGACATCGTGTCTCCAATTTATTACGTATGATGCTCTTAAATAGCCTAACATTTTGTTGGCACCATATTAGCTAGCTTATGATTTCCCACTTCCAATTAGAGGTTGGTTTAGTAGGAGAAGGAGTTCAGAATATATGTGTAAGCCTTAAGAATGGACAGGGTAGTTTCAATCAACCATGGATTTTCATTGTCCATGTAAGTTTGGTTTTCTTCTTTCTTTTGCTGGATAAGATCAATTAATCCCTCGGGTTCTGCATCTGGTGAGATTTGTAGTTAATGGTTATGCTTCTATAGAGATCCGTTGTCATCAGGTTCTCAATTTGCTGTTTAGTGTGTTGGTTTATTTTGGGATTCCTTAACGTTGGGGTTTGTTTGCCTGCCATTTTTTATGTCGTGTAGTTTTAAGGTTTTGATTGCTCAATTGATCGCCCTTCTCCTCAATTTCATTGAACTAATATGCGTGTTTAGGACATAAGGAGGATATAGTTTATCATTTTGTGTGGTAACTTGATCGAAACCCAATTTCATACTAACTTGCCGGTGATGATTCAGTTGCTTATGCTTTGATCTTCTAGAAGAGATTTAGAGCGAGTAACCATGTTTTGATGTTGAATCTTCATAGCCTGCCTATATCTACTACACTAGATGGTATAGAAAATTGTACATGAGAAAGATAGATGTCTACTGAAATCTCCAATATTGCAATGGAGCTACCATCAGTTTAGTGTTTGCAGTGTGTCGTTCTCATTCTTACTTACTTATTACATTATATTCAAATAAATCACCCTTCTAGGATGGTTTTTTTTGTCTTGGCTAATTTTGTAATGGTGCTACATTTAAGTAGAGTGGATAAGTGAGATATCAAGTAAAGCATGATGTTCATTAGCATACCAAGATACAAATGCATCCAGAAGCATGCAGTTGCCGATAGAAATGATAGTTCATAGTTAATTTTCTTATTTAGATTTCTGAGCTTTGATTCCATTCTTTCTACAACGTTTGGCAAGGAATGCAAGTTAACTGATAGTCATTGGGTTAGGTAATTTCGTTTGTTGAGTGGGTATATAATGGATAGAATTAAGCTTTTGTTGGAATGGGATAGTGATCCTTTTACTGTCTTTTTGTTTTCGTTTTGCCTTGCAGTTTTCTTAACTTTGCTGTAAGGATATCTCGAGCGGAGGAATGTGAAGTCGACTTACCTTATCACTGATCTATTTCTGCACTTTTAGTGTGTGGATATTCCAGACTGGGAGCTATAGGAAGAGGTCGATTTGGACGTTGGGTTATGCGATCTGCAGCCAAGGGTTATGCAGCCAAAAGGAAGCTCAAGTCTGTAGCTTTTTTCGCTAGGGATTCTCATATTGGTGAGGATGAAGAGATATGATTAGAAGGAATCACTGGAGAACTTGGGGAAGATGAAGCAGAACTATTGAGAATCTGAGATAGGATTTGAAGACAGAAGGAAGTCGTTTGATTGTTGATGAAGGACAGTAACCGACTTCGGCTTTGGTTCCACTAATCCGGTCATTCAATCTGGTGGCTGAAGTATTTACTCATTCTTCGGTGGAATGAAACTCAATCAGACTATTGAATTGGTGGCCCGAGTATTTATTTCCCATTACTTTTTTACCGTTCATATCATATAACAATTTTCAAACCCTTAGAGATGATATTGCTTATTAAGTTATTATAAAAGTTCATCTCATATAGCATTTTTTTTTTCTAAAATTTTGTTCAAACACCATTTTATTACAAAAATTACAAAAACAAATGAATTATTTTCAATTGGGTTTATATTTTAACCTTTATCAAATAATATGATAAGTAGGTTACCCGCCCAACGGGGCGGGCCCTGTGCTAGTTTGCATAAAAGAAGAAGGGTGGGCGGGCAGTCGGCCTCTACGTCTTTAAACCCAACCTGGGGTACCTGTGACTGTGAATTGTAGTGGCCATGCATGCATGCAGGTTACCTTCGTCGCTGAAATGGAACGAGAGAGACTCTTCCATTCTTGTCTTCTTGATGTTAGCTAGAATAGAATGAGACTGGACATTTAATTGGATACCCAATCGAATTCGAATTCGAGTTACAATGAGATACGGTGACAACCCCAATCACCCCATTAGGGGTTGTGAGATTGACAACCCATTTTATAACCATAGAATCCATTCTCTCTCTTATCTTTTTCTTCTTTTTTTCAAATCAATGGTACAAATTGGATTAAGGGTATTTTTGGAAGAAAAAAATTGATCACACTAGATTATTACCCCTATTAATACCTA